CCACCCTAAACCCTACTAAGTCCTAACAAACCCTAAGCCCTAAATCCGAAACCTACACTCCTGAACCACCCTAAACCCTACTAAGTCCTAATAAACCCTAAACCCTAAATCCGAAACCTGCACTCCTGAACCACCCTAAACCTAAATCCGAAACCTGCACTCCTGAACCACCCTAAACCCTACTAAGTCCTAACAAACCCTAAGCCCTAAATCCGAAACCTACACTCCTGAACCCATCTAGTCCGAGACCTTCAAGCCTCGAGCTTTGAGCGGACACGAAGCCTGAATGCCGAAGCAAACTTGGCGTTCTGGGTTTGGGATTTAGGGTTTAGGGTCTAGGGTGTAGGGTTCTGGGTTTAGGGTTTAGGGCTTTAACATTTTGGGTTTTCTATATGAACTATAAGGGAGCGAAATGTCTATTTAGGGCTTTAACATTTCGGGTTTTCTATATGAACTACAAGGGTGCGAAAAGTCTAACTTTTAGGAGGGGTTCAGAAGTCAGCCAAGCAAAGACCCGACACAGAGAGTCTTGGGGTTTAGGAGTCAGGTGCTTAGGGCATAAGGTGTCGGGGTTTAGGGGTTTAGGGTCTCGGGGTTTAGGGGGGTAGGTGCTTAGCGCTTATATAAGGTTTCGGGGTTTAGGGCTTAGGTGGTTTTGGGCTAAATCATAGGCGTCCCTTCCCATTCTGGTTGAAGATTCGTTCTCTTACAATTCATGGTTCTGGATGAGCAATGAGCAAGTTAGTTAAGGGTTCTCGTCGGGGATGTTCAGAGTTCTTGATGGGTGTGATTGCTGCGGCAATTGGAGATTCAAGTCATGAGGCATGAGCGATGCAGATCAATGATTGAAGGCTTCAAAAATCAGAATTTCACGACTTTTGAAGTGGGTGCTGGGTTTATTTAGAGCTTCATCCTGGTGCGCCATTGGCTTCCTCGGCGAGATGGGTCTCAAGCGACAGATGACTCGGCAGCTCGCTTCAATTATGGAAAATCGGTATTCACAGATATACTGTACCAAAGCAGTTGACAGGGTAATCGAGGGTTTGCAGACCGCAAGAACACAATGAGCTCAAATGAAATGACTCATGAGGAAGAGAATTATATGAGAATGATGAGTCAGGTGAGACAATGATATGATGAGACGGTGCGGACTAGCCACCTGTGGTCTATGATCATGAAATGAAAAAGATGATATGCCATCCTATGAACGATGATCAAAAGGATGGCTCTTGAATTGAGAGCAGAAGGGCCAACATAGGAAGTCTGAGAAGTCGCCCAATGACAATATTTCCTGTCGGCAGACTTCGAGAAAACTCCCATTCGCCTGTTCTGCTCTCTCGGCAGAGTCTGAGAAATCTCCCAATGACAACAGCGCTGCCTGTCGGCCGACTTTGATGAAACTCCCATTCGCCTGTTCTGCTCTCTTGGCAGAGTCTGAGAACTCGCCAGAAGGACAATATCGCTGCCTGTCGGCAGACTTTGACGAAACTCCCATTCGCCTATTCTTCTCTCTTGGCAGAGTTTGAGAATTCCGCTAATGACAACATAGTTGTCTGTCGGCAGACATTGAGAAAACTCCCATACGCCTGTTCTGCTCTCTTGGCAGAGTCTGAGACTTCGCCCAATGACAATGTCGTTCTCTGTCGCCCATTCGCTTGTTCTGTTCTCGTGACAATGTCTGAGAAGTCGGCTAATGACAACAAAGTTCTCTGTCGGCAGACTTTGAGAAAACTCCCATTCGCCTGTTCTGCTCTCTTGGGAGAGTCCGCCCAAAAACAATATAGTGGACTTTGAGAAAACTCCCAGTCGCCACCTCCCGGTGCCAATTGTGGAGGCTTCCATTCCCGGCCCCCAAACTCATCATTGCCCGAAACCAGTCGATGTACCTGGTAGTACCAGCAGCAGTATTGGGTGTTGTACCCGCAACAGTAGTATCGGGCAGCACCAGGACCAATTCCGGCTCGTACCGGCTGTCAATCCAATAAGAGCAGTACCGGCGAGCACCAGGAGTAGTACTGCCCCAGGAGTAGTACTGGGCAGTACCAGGACTAGGAGTAGTACAGGCTAGTGCCACAATAGCGTTGGCACAGTACCAGCAGCAGTATTGGGCAGTACCAACAGTAGTACTGGGTAGTACCAGAAGTAGTACTGGCTAGTACCACTAGTGCCGGGTAGTACCAGAAGTACTGGATAGTACCAGTAGTACCAGAAATAGTACCGGCTAGAACCATTGGGCAGTGGCAGCAGTAGCACTGGCGAGTACCAGCAGGTGTAGTACTGGCTCGTACCAGGACTAGTACTGGCCAGTGCCTGGGCTAGTGCTGGCTAGTACCAGGAGTGGTATTGGCCAGTACCAGGCCAGTGGCCAGCGCCGCAATCTTCAATGGTCCAATCGATTAACTTTAAAGAGGAAGGCTGAGGCGGCCACCAAATTGCGATTGAGCGTGCTTGCTGGACTGCGCGTGCTTGGTCTTGCGGGGAGTGTCGGTGTGGCTGCTGGATGAGCCGGCGACTGCCGGCACGTGCACGCAACGTGCCGGCGGTCGCCGGCTCATCCAGAACGACTACGCGCAGAAATCGGCAGAGCCTGCCTAAACTCAGAATTTGGAGAAGCCCATGGAATACGTGCGATTAACACGCGCTTGTTGAAATACGTGCTTGCTGTTTTCAACGTGCTGGATGGGCCGGCGACTGCCGGCAGGTGCACGCCACGTGCCGGCAGTCGCCGGCTATTCCAGAATTGTGTCCTGCAGCCCGCACCATCAAGCACTCTCACGTCCAGGTGGCATGGAGACGTGGCTGAGAGGTCGCCTAGAAGAGGCGAGGAGGTGGGCGGCCTTAACCGTGCTTGATCCCTTAGGCGTGCTGGCTGGATGCAAGTCTATAGTATTGCCAAGTACCAGGAAGTATTAATTATTGATATTTCCAGAGAAGCTGCAGTTGACGAAGCTCTCTAGCTCCGAGCCAAGTCTTGTCTTGCAGGTTGCAAGATCCACAGCAGAAGATGGCCTTCCTCGACTGCTTCCTGCTTAAGATCGAGATCTTGGACCGCAAGATCCGACAGGGCGACACAGAGTCTGAGACTGTAGCTTTGTGGCCTGGCCCGGACTGGGAGGCCTGGATATTCGTTCAGTCCAGCAGTCTGATTGTTGCATCAGTGCTTTGCAAAACCACATGCCTGTGGAGCTGCAAATCGTGCAGAGGCTGTGGCTTGTGGACTAGTGCTCCGGCCCCTGCTGTTCACGGAGGATGCACAGCTGGTCGCCGACTCTCCAGCCAGGAATGCTGAAGCTTCCAGTCCGGCTCCGTCGGAGCCGACAGCACCGGCGGTTTCAAGCTACACCCCGGCCAGCACTCTCTTCCTGCAGGTCGGAGGAAAACGTGAAAGTGTGCTATCTGTTCAGTGTGCGACTTGGGTCAAAGTCTAGACATGTCGATCAGTGCTTCTCGCCGCCTCCAATGTCCGAGATGTCGCCACTTCTGCAGGTGCAAGGCACAGATGTGGAAGGTTACCTCCACGTGTTCCGCATGGCAGAGACATGGCCTTTGCTGTCCAATAAACAGCAGCTCACCAATTGGTTCACCAAGCTGCTCCGTGGTAACACAGATCATGAAAGCACTCCTGGCACGAGAGTGAATGTTCCCTAGAAGATTTGTTTTTCCAGAGATCCAAGGAAAGACTCGATGATGGCCAAACTCAACAAGAAGTGGTGCGCGGATTGCAACCGACAGATTATCCGCAAGGTGGGGTACAAAGGACATCAGGTCGCAGCAGACGCTGCAGAATTGCGGCTGTCTTTCGACGGAGGCACGAAGCAGCAGTTGCTGTTGCAGAAGAGGCTGCAGCTTCTGCCCCTGCAGCAGCGGCAGAAGCTCCCGCAGAAGCAGAAGAGTCAAAGCGAGCTTCCCGGCGGTTGCTGAGCTCTTGCAAAGCCGTGCCCGATTTCTTGACGGAGAAGTTCAGGATGAGAGATGATGTGGTCATCTCGCACGTGGAGCATCGGTCGAGCGTCCTGCCCCCCCCGCTTTCAGGCTCGGCTTCCAGGTGAGGAGAAGTAGGATGGAAAGCCACGTAGTTGCAGAAATAGCAGTTGTTGATTGAATAATTACGCACAAATCTCAAATGCATATTCCCATCAGCTTCTGTAACATGTCAGGGTGAATTGGGAACAACGATTACAAATGAGGCACAGCTGCAGTGCAAGCTACCACTACAACCTTGCCATCGACAAAAAGCAGCTGGGTGAGGCGATCGACAAGGTGATTTTGCTGCCGGCCAGACAACGGTCGATGATGCAAGCATTTTACATATGCTACAAGTTTCAAGCCGAGTCCGAAAAAAAACAAGCGGCGGCGGCTGCACTGACGAGGTGGCGAGGCGAATGAAAACAGCCGTCGGTCGTGCTGGCATCACGGAAACTCATAGGTCATCATATATTTCATCTGATCTCATTCCCAAATAGCCTTTACCAACCAAGTTATAATCAGCAGTTCATCCAGAACGATAAAAAAAGCAAAGATGTGAAACACCATCTGAATGCAAAGGGCTGGCTATGACTAAAGGTTTCGGGGTTTAGGGTTTGGAGATTGGGGGTTTATGGTTTAAGGTTTGGGGTTTTGTGGTTTAGGGTAGTATAGGGGTCTTAGTAATTAGAATAGGGTTTTGGGGCCCAGTACACTATAATTATAATCAGGAGCCCAGAATAGTATTGGTATTTATTTCGGACCATACATTAGTTTAGGAGTTTTGGGGAAAGGGAAGGTGGTGCTCACTTCCAGCTACAGGAGCTTGCGGATGCCCATCGGGACGCATCTGTCCTCGTCTTCGAGAAAGGGAGCAGGCCAGGGGGTCTTCATACCGTGTAACATATAGGGGCCTAAACAATTACAAATACTTCTTTGGGGGGTTCAGGGTTTAGGGTTTAGAGTTTAGGGTCTATTAGGGTTACCAATACTATTTGGGGATTCCTTATTACATTTATAGTATAGCGGAGCCCGAAATCCTGTTCTGATTTTTCAGGCTCCTCCTTCACCGGATCTGAAGGGAGACCCGGGATTCCAGCACCTCTTTTGGGGTGCGGTTAGGATGCTAGAATCAGAGAAGAATGATGGCAATCCAAGACTCTAAAAGTTTAGGACAATGCTTGGGAGATGCAAGGAATGCTAGACCCTATTCCCGGAACCCTGTGCACGAGCCTTCTGAGACCCTAATATAGAAGCCTAAATAATTACCAATGTTATTCCCTAGGGTTCCTTACTATACCTATACTATCACGGAGCCCAAAACCGTATTATAAACATCAAGACCCCTACATTAAACCTGCAACTGTAAGCTTGCCAGTCTGCAAAGCTGTACCCAACACCTTGATCCTGCAGCCATATACCCGAAACCCCCTAAACCCTAAACCCTAAACCCCCTCAGCCCTAGACCCTAAACCCTAAACCCTAAGCCCCCTGAAGACCCTAAGCCCTCTGAAGCGCTGATCCTATGTGAAGAAGAGGCCCGATGCCAGAATGGCCACCGCCTATGTCTCGGGAAGCCTGGGCCAGTGGCGTCCTCGGTTTTTATAAAATGTTAAGGCTTTCAGGGGGTTTAGGGTTTAGGGTTCAGGGGTTTCGGGGTTTAGGGGTTTAGGGTTTAGGGGTTTAGGCTTTCGGGTTTAGGGGCTTTCAGGGGTTTTACGGGATACTAGAAAGGTTGAAAGGTCAGTCACAAGGATGTCGTCGGGTCTTCAAAGGATTCGACGTTTGTGTTATCTAAGATTGCATACCGTATAAGACTGAAATACTTGTTCAGGCTTTTCAATAGGTAAGACTTTATGCAGGTTCGGTAAGCTTCTCTCATGGCGGCTTTCTGTATCAGAGTGGGATTGTAAGGTTAAGGCGTACAGTGTTTGGAGTTGAGGGTCTTGGAGTTTAGGCTTGGGGATGCAGAGCCCTAAAACCGAAGACCCTAAACCCCTGAACCCCTAAACCCTAAAACCCTTAAGCTCTAAAGCCCTAAAGCCCTAAAAGGGCTTGGTTTCCGGGTCGGTACAGCATCCAGGACGCGTTCTCGTAAGGCTTGGGTTTGCAGGTCGTGGTTCAGAGGGGGATGATGAGAAACGCAGGCAGCCGCAGGCAACACAGACAGCTCTTCCATATACGTTGGCCCCAAAGTACCTATATAGGGACTACTTTAATTTAAGGCCAAAGTATCTACTATTTGGGTTTGGGCAGATGGACCCTTAGGGTTCCTCAGTTGGGATTCACAATTTGGCAGCTGATCCGAGCTGGCTGGTGGATCAAGCATGTTAGTCAACAGGTAGCTACAGATACATCCCTAAACCATACCTGAACCCTGAACCCTAAACCCTAAACTCCCTAAACCCTCAGACCTTAAGGTCGCCTTGAGCCGTCAAATTTTTGCCCTCGACCCATCCACATGCCAAGCTGGTTTCTGAAGGAAGCTACACCTAAAGCCAGACATCGCCCGAAGTTCCACAAACGAGCTGCAAAACAATCCTACACCCTAAACCCTCAGAAGGCTCCTTACAGCACAAACTCCTTAGCTTGCTAAACCTTATAAACCCTATAACCCTATCAAACTTTAAACCCTAAAACCCTAAACGCGTGAAAAAACTCCGTATAAAACAACATGCGATGACCTCCCGCGCTTGCGCCTTACGGGCTCTGGGCCAGCCTCGTCTCTTCGCCCGATTTCATTTTTTCAGGCCTCTTAGAGTTCAGGGTTTAGGGCGTACCTAAACCTCCATAATACAAGTAGGTAACATAATGGCCCAACACCTAAACCCTAAACCCTAAACCCTAAACCCTAAACCCTATCATTCTACATGCTTTTGGGGTCCAGCGCCGAGGCTTCTGAAGCTTTCAGAAACTCCCGACATTAAGGATCCCACTACTTGTATAGTTTTCCTATGCTTCCGGAAACCTTGTTATTGGGTCCTTAAGGGGTCTAGGGCCCTAAATATAAGGTCCTTGGAAGCATTGGGTTTTGCAAGGGGTGTAGAGGCTTTTGGGCGTTCGGTCTTGGCAGGGGGCTTGAGGGGCGGGTTTTTGCACACTCAGGTGATTTCAGGGCGCAATTGAAGGCTTTTTTGTCTTTCTGGGACTCGGTTAACAGAGGAAGACAGCTTGTCTTTTCTGAAGATCAGTCGTTCTCTTTTCTTGTCACGGAATTCAAAGGTATAGAGACCCTAAGAACGTGGCATTTCCGGGTGTTCGGAACTCTGCTGTCGTGCGGAAACGTTTGTGTCTTCTGTCTGCCCGCCTCGGCCTGCTCGTTGGCAACATCTACGGTTTAGGGTTTAGGGTTCAAGGCTTAGGGCTTAGGGTTTAGGGTTTAGGGTTTAGGGTTTATCAGAGCTCATGCTACGCTAAGGTTCTGGCAGTACTCTCCAGTGTCAGTAAGAGTGGTTTTCGGCACCATTTTGCTATTCAGCTGGGCATCAGTGTGTGTGTGTGTGTAATAATAAACGTCATCACAGTGCCTATCGTCATTGCAGATCATCGCCATCTCCAGTTTGCTGACCACCCTGACCACCCTCATCATAATAGTTCTTAGTTCGACAGCATCAGCAAGAACCACTACGAAACACGACCACGACGACCACGACCACGACAACTGCCACTGCCAAGCCGCTGCAGCTGCTACTCCTGCCACTAATTAGTCCTGGTACAGGTATTACTTCAAGTCCCGGTGGCTCATCCATCCAATTCGGGCCAGTTCGTGCACATAGGTTGCACTCGAAGAAGCAATCCGTGGGCCGACTTTCCTGCAAGATGAGGTTTCAGACGTTTCTTTTCGGAGACGCACTGGCCGGACGGAACACCGAAGCGGTTCAGAGGGAAGGAGAGTGCCTCTGCAAGTATGCTAGGGAAGCTTGCAATCCTGGGCTTCAGATTTCTTTGGTCATAGCTTGTTGTTTGCATCTTCGTGGGTCATATAAGTAGCCCTAAGGGTCCATGTACC